TGTCTCCTATCTTATTATAACTCATTGGAACCTAAGCTTTAAAAATAACACATTTCAATAAGACCGAATTTTTTGCTTTGTTGAGTTTTTTAAAAATATTCTAACAATACCATGGGTCATAATATAAGCGATGAGGTTTTACTAAAAATATAATGCCGACAAAAATTATTAATAGTACTAAAATATAAGGAAAACGTTCTTGATAGACCGTTTATAGATGGATTCATCATATGAATCCAAATATCATAGAGGTGGAATTTCATAGAGATCAGGGATGCAGACAGAGAGAATGACTTAAAAAACTCAACTCAAATTTAAAGAATATACGTTCAGTACTCGATATCTATTTAGTATCAGTATTTTCGATGAATTTGTAAATGAAAGTACAGTGTACCTACATAAAGTATTAATATAATTATATACAATCGCTATAAATTATTACATTCCTACATACTTATAGCATTAAAAAGCTTAACTAGGTAATAGTCAAAAATTTTTATTAACATCAAACAATATTCCAGTAGAAATGGATGACTTTAAACAGAAATTGATCACTAAAGTAAATGAGAATTATGTTTGAGCGCAAATGCATTTGAGTTTTCATTTAAAAAATTAATATTAGAGTAATAAATTTGGTGAGTTATGAATGTTATGAATATTTAAAAAACTAAAAAAGTTGAGGACTTTATTTAAATATAAAGAAGTAATTTATTTATTTTTGGTTTTGGTTAAAAAAATAGAACCAGAGAGCTAAAGATATAGTTATCAAAAATTAGCATTAAACCTTATGAATTGGTTCAAGGTACACATTACTTAAATTATTGCTTTATAATTTACTAGTAAAAATGTTGTATAATGCCAGTAGTTGTATTGTTTTGCTGAATGTTACTTAAATACTTTCTGTAAAACCATGTGGATCAACTTAACATATTTATAAAATTGCTGAACTTTATAACGTACTGATCATAGAAACTAACTATGGAATATAAATTTTTATGTATAAATCTGTATATAAGTATTTGAAAATATATTCCCACAGTTTATGATATACAGTTTTCAATGTTTCCCTAGGTATGAAATCATTTGTTGAAAAGTACCATATCAACAGATTATTTCGATATAAAATTTATATGCATTATACAAACAGAGTACCTGACTACTGGAAGGTTCTCATTAGAAGAATTTCTGACAATTTATATTGATGGCTAAAAAATAAGTAATGGATAATACAATCAAGGATCTGACTTCTTACATTGATGGCTTTAAAATAAGTAACGGACAATGTAGTTAAGGTTCTGGCTAAAGAAGATTATTTAGGGATCTGAATATTTTTACATATTAAAGACGTCCTAATCATGGCTACATCTTTCCAGCAGAAATTACCGTGCTTTTTTAAAACTATTGTTTGTTATTACCGATTGACTGTCTACTCTTGCATATTAAAGACTTTCTAATCAATGCTACATCTTTCAAGTAGAAGTTCCGTTTTTTTTAAAGTTATTGTTTGTTGTTATTATTGATTGGGTAGGGGTGTATACATAAATATGCCTAGACACAATCTATTCTTAAGTTCGTGATATTGGTCAATACTTTTCTAGGGATGGTTTTTGACTGTATGTATTTCTGAACGCAATATTGGTAGACTTTAACATTGCTTATCATTAAGGTTATTAAACATTGTGTCTTAGAAACAAATTCGGATCATCTAAAAGATGATAAAATAAGTTGAAAACTTTTGTTATAGAATAGTCAAGTACAAGGTTAACAAAATCAATAAAATGCAGACATCTGTATATAAGTTGATCTCTTTTAAGCCTTTTAAAAATTTTTGTGGCTCTACATTGGGTTCATAGATTTTTATTAATCCACACTATTACTATAATAACTTAATCTAAGCCGAAATCTAAAGCAAGTCCTGTTTTTATATATACTTTTCGTGCATGGAGTACTGAAACTTCTGCAAGGTCTAAGCATACTTATTAGATTATTGAATTGGTTTAAATAAGTATTAGTGTTTAATAAGTATATCAGATTAAAACTTAAGTTAGAACTTATATGTTATATCATAAGTTTAACAAGTATGATAAGCATACTTATTTAATTGTGTTATTATTTTATATATTATTAAGTATTTTTATTGGATATTTTTATCACATTTTTTTAAGCATAATAAAAATTCCCTTTAGGAAAAATATAATATTGATCAATTTACATATAATTGGACAAAATTTATCAAATCTTGTCCTTTAAATGCAATGTTTATATATTTTATGCTACAAACAGACGTTGTACTAAAGTATCGTATAGTGTTAAACGAACGAATCTAACTAGTAGCGCCTTAAGGAAAAATGAAAAATAATATATGGCAGACATTTGGAATTTAACTGCTCAATTTAAATAAACCGCCAAGTGCAGTGCAGAGCGTGAAACGTGCCTTAAGCCAAGTGTGTAAGGACATTTTTTATCTCCGACACAAACAATAACTTTGCGTTGCATTGTTGCGTTGTTGTACGTTACGTTGGTTGCATTTCCATTATCCTTTGTTGCCTGCAAAATATGCTCCATGCTGCAAACAAACTCGTATTTATGATGGAATTTTTTTTCCATTTCATATGTGAAAAAATATAGCATGCATTTGCGTATGGCTTCGTTATGTTATATTTCAAGTTGGTTTTTTTTTTTATAAATTGTACTCTCTTTCACCTCTGTCGTCTCTAGTTTGACATAACTAACATCCGGGGTCTGCTGTACGACAACGCGTTGGCGAGTTTTTGTCACCCGACGCCTCTGTTGTTTCCGTCCACGTAGATTTTGCTTTTGTCGTTCCACAATTATCACTGAACCATCATCACTTTTCGGAATATTTGCAGTTTTATGCACTGTACTCACTGGATCATTGACATAGGTGCGTGTACTTATGACTTTTGTTGTTGTGATGCTGGAAAGCTTTTTATCACTTGGTTGTAAATTTGTTGTGGGTTGGTTCTTGCTTGAATCCACAGCTGTTTCACATTCAGCAATTTGGTTTGGTAGCTTAGAAATTGAAAAATGTTAAAGGTTTAGGTTCATCTCTTAATTAATAATAACTTAAACTATTTTTGTTGTGACATTGTAGTCGACATTGGTATGGGATTAGAATTAATAACAGAAGTTTAGGTCATAAAATTAATTTTTTTTAACAAGGCAAATTAAGTAAATTATTTTAAAGTTATTACAATATAATGATAAGGAGACACATTCTAAGATTACATTTTTTGATTAATAGACAAGACTTACAAAACAGTTTTTAATATTAGGTGTATTCGGCTGCTCTGAAATGCTGCAAAAAACAACAAGTGTCTTGCTAAAGTCTCTTACTAATGTCTCTTGCTAAAGTCTATTACTAAAGTCTCTTGTTAAAGTCTCTTACTGATATATAGTTATCACTATTCTAATGTATTAAAATTTATGTTTGCACCATAAAGAAGTCTTATTTATGTATTCAAAACTTAAGAAAAATCAAATTTAAATAAATTTAAATATTATTAAAAAAATTAAAAATTATAACATGTATAGTAAATTAAAACCAATAGTAACTATGTTTAAAATATTGAAATTTCCTTTTATATTAAATTAATCATAGTTAAAAACATTTATAAAATTTGATTTTGAAGTCAATTATCATAAAAAAAAACTATTTTCTTAATAGATACTTGTGTTTCAATAGAGACGTTTTTGAACAATAGTAAATTAGAACAACATAATTTTTTTTATTTTTAGTTAATTAAATTTTCTGACTAGAATCTTCTAATAAATATTCACAATCGATTTCTAATCATTTTATTATAAACATTATTTTCTACAGTCTCTTAGATAATTAGACACTTCAAAAATAGTCTGTTAAAGCAAAAGGATAGTGTTGTTGTTTTGCATACAAATTAGAGACTTTAGCAAGAGACTTGTTGTTTTATACACCTAAGGTTATTTTCTTTAAATTTAGACATTACTGATTTCGATGTAATCCATTGTAATGTTTATGATTGTTTCTTCTTCTAAATAATACCTGTTATTTAGAATAATAACCTGTTACATGTTTCTAAATAATAATACTTGAATAATAAATAATTCAAGGCATATAAATTATAATATAAAGAACTGTCACAATCTTTTAATACTACTATCAATATATAGCCGTAGGCTGGGAGTAGAGTGGGAATAGCTATTAAGAAAAATTATCTATAATAAATTTTTTTTGTTTGAGCTTTTACCGGAAAATACAACTAACAAATAATTTCAAACTTTACTGTCATTAGCAGGATAAATTTAATAATTCACTTAAATAAAAAAACTCCAGTATTGATCAATAAAAATTTGTAGTGTTCCACAAAGATAATCGAAGTCTTCGTCTATGTTTATTGAATCGCCAACATTTTTACCGTTTAGATGGGATACATAGTACTGTTACAACTACTATATACTTCAGATCTGTTACCTTCTAATTATAATTTAATTTCTGATTTCTATTAAACTTTTTAGACTTTAACTGGAAACGAGTACGTCAAAAACTGAATTAATATTATGACGGTAAAGAACAAAAATTGTATCAGCGTGGAATCCAACTACCGTCAAAAAGATGATGAAATCAGAACAAAAAAGTTATTAAATATTTATTTAATAATAATCTTACATTTTTGTGGAAAAAAACGAAATTAATTTCCAAACAGTCTTATATTTTTATAAAAACTGATTTACAAATTAAAAGATTCTTTCAAGAAAATAATAATATTCAATGGAGCTCCATTATATCTATTGTTAACCCGAAGACAACTTCTATAAAGTTGTCTAACAGTAATTACAAGATGGGCAATGGCTTTAAAAACCTGGAAAAAATTGGTTTTACTACCTCATTGCATCCTAGTTGATTTGAAAGTCTAATTTTTGTGATTTGGTTTCTAGGTATATACCTATGCTTTTATATATTTTATATGCTTTACTTCGCATATGCTAGAGCTTTACGGTCTCATTCTCTCTCTCTCTCTCTCTTTACTTAAATGTATGCGTTCTTAATATTATGGATGTAGACGTAATGGCAATAGAACGAATGAATTTCAAAATTTTAGAGGACATATAAATTGTATTACGTTTTACATCTTATATAAGTTGTCTCTAATCATACAATCTCCTACTAACCAAAATATGGTGGTAGCATTGATCAATTAATTGATTAATTCTACAAGATTGCCCTGCACATACTATATAAACGATTTTCGTCATAGGCGTATCATATCGCATTGAATGATGTGGGTATATGGGCACACTATTAGGAGTAACTGCCACATATGCCTTTCTTACCTATTTCAATATACTAACATATTGTCTTAAGACATTTGGGTGACAAAATTTGATTTTTTTAAAATTCTTGAATTCACAGAAAAAAATTTATTTATATAATTTTTTCTAAATATATTTATCTTTTATTTATTATTTATAAAAAGCTTACCTCTGCATTAAAAAGTGAATACTTTTTTGGTGGTTTAATTTTCTGAACGTTGTCGCCAGTATTTGTTGGAATGATTTCATCATTTGGTGAAAATATTGATGGCACCTGGTAACTTTCTGGTGGTGGGAAAAAACCTGATACAGTTTTTGATGTTGATTTACCATTAGCATACGCATCTGCCCCAAGGAATCCACCTTCATCAGTTGCACCACCCAGAACAGCGCCAGCGCCAACTGATGGATTTGCTTGAGCACCCGCATAACCAAAACCGGCAGCACGTCCTGCAAAAGATAAATAAATGAAAATGAAAAATTTTTTATTGCGACTTCAATTAATCAAACTTAATAAAATTATTAATTATAAAACTTTCATATAAAATATTACTTAAATTTACTACCGTTTAAAATAAATGTAATTCGTTTTGTAAATGGTCGATTTCATCCACAAGGAATATTCGCACCCAGTCAGAATGTAATTAATTTAAAATTTCGCCCACGGTATTATTGCACGTCATTTAGTGTATTTGCATCGAATTAACAGAAGTGCAAATTGGGGTTTTCGACTTCCTTTAATTACTTCATTTACTCATTTCCCTATATTTATATGAATTTTGTTTTACGAAAAGTTAAAAATAAAAATTAAATTTGGAATATAAATAAAAATTTAAAAATAATTCATGTCTCTATAATTAATTAAAATTTATTTATTCTAGAAAAATGATAAATAATTTATATAAAATAGTTTCAGCCCACGAGTTCGATTCCTGGTACTTGCAGTCTCAAACAATTATTTATAAATAATTAAATATAAGAATTATTTCCAAGACCACTCGAAACAGCTGTATGGTCAGCCAAAAATTCATTTAATTAAAATACTATAAAAAAAAATTAGTTTTTGTAATTGTTGTTGTTAATTACTATGAGAAAAACCTCTTTATTAAAAATATTTGGAAAAGTTAGGTTTGTTTTTTTTTTAAATAGACTCATATGTGTTTTAATACACAAATAATGAAACATAAAAATAAGAACATAATATCAACGTCGAACAAGAAAAAAGTAGCAATTTGTATTGTATTAACTGAAACCTAGTAAAGTATACATATAACTTTCATTGATAACACGCTTTGAAATCGTGTACAAGTCTCAATAATTTATATGCGCTAATCCTTATTTGCTTGGAGATGGTTATAATATAAAGATTTCTAAGAATGTAAGAGTTTCTGATATATCCGGGAATTTTGAATATGTCAGGTATGTCAGGTTAGAATCTATAAGGTTATGTTCTTAAACGTGTCAATATTTCAATATCAAAGGTGGATTTACCTGCTTTACTAAAAGCGACGCAACCAAACATCAAAGATGTACTGATGACTTACTTACAGATCAAGATTCTACTTTCTCGGTATAGCCTATTACTTTTGAGGCGAAATGATGACGTCATAAATGTATAAATATCATCCTGCACATATTACTATATGTCCATATTCTATATACATATATCTATTTTTTATATTTCATTTCTATATTAATTATAAAAAAATTAATAATTATGATTTTAAATCT